ATATATATATACAAACACATATATGAATATTTTGTCTAAACTATGTCAAAACATTACCATATTTAAGAAAATACATGGTCATGGTGTGTACTAATCAGAATAAAAATAGTGACAGAAAATATTTCCACTTTCTGCAGTGGTAGAGTGGAAAAAAACTAACATTAAAGGGGGAAATAAATCAACTAAGTGGCAATTAAACTTAATAATACCCAGATGAAAGGGGAAATAGCATATGAGGAAACATTGTAAATAGTAAAGATTACTTAAATTATCTAGAGTTAGTTGTTGAAATGCCGATCTAGTACTTTAGTCGCCCCCATTCAATTTAATTTTAATGTTAATAATCTGCACTAGAGAAGTGAGCCCCAGAGTCTCATTGATGTACCTCTATTCTATGGATTATTTGATGTGTCTTATCTCCATTTTGATGATGATGAAAATAATTCATAACATCGAAAGATTTATCAATTAGATGTACCAATTTAATTACTATTAATAATAGCAAGTTTACTCTAGCCTTTTTCTGTCATAAAGAAAAGGTAGTTTATCTAAAGAATTACAGTATTTTCAATTATATTATGTAATTTAATGAGGATAAAGCTAACTTGACTTCATTTGGTTAACATGATGTAAACAGGTTGTATTAAGTTGCATACATGGGTATACTGAAATAACATGGTCATTTTATTAATGATATTTCTGAATTTAGAGTAACATTTGCCCTTTGCCAAAGCTTGATACCAGTAGTATTCAGTAATGCAGAAACACTTGGGCCTCCATGCCATCCAATGGATCAATGGACTATTGACCCATTTAATCATTATGTTCATAAACACCTTGTTTCCATGATAATGTTGTTTGTCAAACGCATTGTTCTAGACCAGGGGTGTCAAACTGCCGGCCTGTGGGCCGGACATGTCACACGCAAGCCGCGCCTACCCCATTGCCGGCAATGGCAAAACCATTCCGATACGTTGCGCAACGTCACGTGACTTTGCGAGTTTGACATGTCTGTTCTAGACAGTGAATCAGACCTCTCAACTCTTGCCTATAACCATGACTTGATTTAGCTTAGCTGACCAGTATATAGACTGAATTCAGACTGTTAGCTATTATTTTATAGATAAATATGAAGTACAAGACTGGTTGCAAAGCAGAGTCTCTCTGCAACAACCTTTCTGCTGCTTATATTTTATTTTCATGTGATTGAGTCTCATGTGATAGTTGTATTTTAAAAAAGAAAAGAAAAGGGTCTGTGAAAGTTGCTGGTTATGAAAGACTTTTCCATAAAATGACATATAGTTTATCACAGATTTGAATATTTTATCCATGATTGTTTCTTTATTTACTTGCCATATTTATAGGCTGTTCAATTGCCCAACAGCTTTGGTTGGCTTCGCAAACTAAAAGCACAATAGCCAATAGTTCTTGGTTAACGACCTTGTTCAGCAACCTTTCAGCCCTACAATAAAAGATGAAAGTAAATGAAAGACTGTGGTGTGTGTATATGTGGCATATGATTATATGTAATTTTTTTATTGAAAAAGCATCTGCTAGACAACACGTTCGCAAAATCTCATTTTTGGAAGCCTTGGAACTGCTTGGGACAGGTTTTCTTCGTGGAAGTTCTGGATTTCTACGAACTGGTGGTGATATTCTGAAAGGAACCAGCTCAGTCAGCAGGGATGTCAGAGTTGGAGTTACTCAGGTTTGAGTTATATTATATTATGTTGTGTTTTAACTTTTTTTAATTTGTGTGACTAATTTGTTACTGTACTATGTACTAGTTCCTGTTGAATATGCTTATGTTGCAGTTAGGTTTTTTTCAACGTTCTGAAGAAGTCTGAATTATTTTAATACTGATGAGCATTTATCTCAATTATTAATGAAAACTTGTACATTTTTAATTTAAAAATGGCAGGCATAAATCAAATAAGAAAATGAAGAAATAAAAATTTAAAAATACTTTGACCACCCAAGACAGAAATTATGTAAAAGGACTAAGGACTATGTCTGTCATCAGCATAAGCCTCTGAATACAGAACAGATTTGAATCAAATTTGGTGTGATAGGGGAAGGAAAAAAAATCTCCAAGTACATCTCTTTGGAAAAAAATCCCCCCCCCCCGTACTTCCCTATATAATCAACACCTTGGAATGCTGCTGACTTCTTCATTTTAAGCATACTTCCTTCCTAGTCACATTATCCGGACTACATCATATGTTGCTTCTAACATACATAAAAATGCTTATATAAAAACTACACTGTTCTGTCTCTTAGAATGCTGTGAATTCCTCAATTTCATAATCAATTCATAAAATAAAATAATAGTCTTCACAAAATACTCAGTTGCCCTCGTTGATTAAATAACCTGTTATACCTAAAGCAAACATTTTACAATTGTTGCCTTGTCTGGGGTAATTACTTAACTGTTAGAATAAGATATAGCTTAAAGGAATCTAACCCCAGTCAGTGCCAGAGCTTTGTGGTTGTGAATTTACAGCTTGTCTTTTGGAACATGGATTCAAGTCCAACACAAATGGAAAAATACAAGGCATTACATATAAGAACGTGTTGGTTCTTGAAACAATACACTGGCTTCCTCATAGAATCAACAAAGCTTTGCTGCATGATTGAAGAACCATTTTCTGGTTTGGATGTATGTTTAAGGTATCATGTTATCAAATACAAGCAGTCACTGTCATCAGAGGCACTACAACTAAAAAAATAGAAATCTTCAATTGGCTATGTATGGGTATGTGTGTGTAACACACTAATCCATAACATTGCTATCCAGTCACATGCCTTTGTTAAATAAAGCATATTATAGCTTAGTATGAGTGCCTGGTTTATTCTGCCTGCTATTCCATAATGTGCTTTAGTTTTTGATTTAGCAATTTTAAAACAATAGTTTATGGTTTAGAAAGCATGAATATAGTTTATACAGGTAGTCCCCGACTCATGAGCACAATTGAGCTCAACATTTCTGTTGCTAAGTGAGGCATTTGTTAAGTGAGTTTTGTCCCATTTTATGACCTTTCTTGTTAAATGAATCACTGCAGTTGTTAAGTTAGTAATACAGTTGTCAAATGAATCTGGCTTCCCATTGACTTTGCTTGTCAGAAGGTTGAAAAACTGATCACATGACTCTTGGACACTGCAACCGTCATAAATATGAGTCAGTTGCCAAGTGTCTGAATTTTGATCACATGACCATAGAGATGCTGCAGTGGTCATGTGAAAAATGACCGTAAGTCACTTTTTTCAGTGCTGTTGTAACTAAATGAACTGTTGTAAGTCAAAGACTATCTGTATGTATCATATGGGGAAATTGTGCATGAATTGTTGCAAACTACTGGGGCAATTAAGTAGGGCTGCTCTGCCTCATAATTTAGGCAGAAAAGCATGACATAAATCATTCTTTGTTTCCCCTACAAAATGTTAATTTTGGCCTAAAATCATGTTTTATGTCATAGCCTTCCTTTTAAATGTTCTGTTTTAGAGGTGGAAAGTATCACTATACTTTTTATCTACAGACCCTTTAAGATTATCCCCATTTCTGTCTTTAAAGGCATGGAAAATATTTTTAGTTTCTTTAAATATATTTATTTATTTAGTAAACAAATTTTATGGCTGCCTAGATCACACATAGATTGAGTGGCTTACAAATATGAAAGATCACCATCAAACTACCGTACTTGGTTTTAGCAAGTAGGACAGTATTCTGTAAGCTCACCACACTGAGATAGCTTTTATTGATTGACATGTAATCTTTCAAGCTGTTCACTGCCTTTATGTTCTGCTTTCCATTGTTGTAAAACCAAGTTAGAAAATAGGGGACTATTTCAGTAATTACTAAGATGTCATTCAAATTTGTAGGGTAACATATGATGGCAGTTTTAACTTAATTGTTCTTGAAATTCAATCTTACCTAAATATAAATATATATAGAAAATTCTACTGATATTGTTCTTATTTTTCACTGGAATATTAAGTTTGCAGTTAATCTTAACTTGATATTTATTTGTATTTTGATTGAGAGAAGGAATTTTAATTTAATTTAATGAAGTTTATTTTTCAAATGACTACTGCCAAATCTTTTCACTTCACCTTACTTAAAGAAGCTATAAATGTAAATAAATACATTAAATAAATACATTAAAATAGTTTATTATTTTGTAATATGTGACATATTGTTATGTGCAAGTTGAAACTGATTTTAATATTTTTCTTTTAATCATTTTTCAGGCATATGTGGTGTTCATTTCCACATTAGGAGGAGAATGGCTTGAGAGGAATTTTTCTGCTTTGCTTTCCCATATTCTGGATTTGGTCTCTCAGTCTCACCCTAAGGCTATTCAGACACAAATGGACAGTATCTGTAGCCGCCGTTGTATTTCATTTATCCTCCGAGCTACAGTAGGAGGCCTTCTCGGGGAAAAAGCTCGAATTGCAACTGCCAAGGAAATTTGTCAAGCCATCTGGAAACTGAAGAAAGTTATGGGTATGGGACTAACAAGATTATTTGCTAACCCTCCCTTTGTCACCTTCCGTTCCAGCAATGCTTTAATCATTTCCTAATCTAGTCATACACTAATTTAATCCCACGCACAAACCAAGTCTCTCTGTGGGTTTTTAAAATAATTTTTAAGCTTAAAATTTCCTGAATTTTTTCCGTGATTTAGTTTTACATAAATATGCGGAAAGTAGATATGGTAGCTGATTATAGCCTTAACAGCACAACTTTATATTATACACAACTAACATGTATATCTGATGATGGAATCACAAACACAACATTCTCACTAATTACGAGCTTTCCTGTTGCATTTAGCAAGTAACGCTGAAATTAAATGATCCCATTCATCTTGCCCAGTTTGGAAGGTTTGCTGAAATCTAGATGATGTAACCAGGAAAGTTTGCTGAATCTAATCCGACTGGGTCTAGGTTTTCTTTAATGTAGCTTACTCAGGCAGCACAAGAAGGTCAAAAAAGATCAATTAATGGAAACTGCTTATTATTGCAGCCAGATTCTAGAATCATGATTCTGTAGTGGCTATTGTTGTACAACTATTAATACCATGATCATAAAGTTTAGCTTTTTAAAAAAGGTAAGTTGTTGCAGTCTTATTTGTTATCTTAATTTTGCAGATGGTAGATGGAAATTACAATTATTATCCAATAACTTATCTGTGGTTTACAATATATCTAATCTTAAAGTATAACCCTTTAGCTCTTTTCCTGGAGCCTCATTTTATATGTATCAGACACCCATCCCTGTCTTTTATTCATTTCTTTTATTAACATAACATTTGCTATTGTCAGATGCTGCAGTGAATAACTGTAATGTCGAAACCCATATTGGTACAACAGAGGTAATAGCAAACCAGCATATGTTAATATGTGCTCTAGAAGAGCTTGGAAACCTCATATATGGCTTAGGTACTACAGCTGCACCTGTTCTGCAAGATTCTAGTACAGGTAAATACCTTTATAGAGTCTTAAGCTATAGGATAAATAAAACAAAAATGAGCGGTGGTACCACAAACTGCTTCAGGATGTATTGTACAAAAAGAGGATGTTCAAATAATTCCAGCAGTCTTTCTTTTAATAAGTTAAAATATTTTGGATAGCTTCTGAATCATCACAGATCATTATCAGAAATCTATTGGGAATATGTTGTTTGGATCAGTTCTTAGTTTAGCGATGACAGGGAAGACTGCATTTTTATATCATTGAGGTTTCAGAGTGTTTCACAGAGCTATATAAGGACTGTGTCACAATGAGACAGCAGTTAGTCTAACTTAGCTAATTTCATTAAAAAGTCAAGAATATTGTACCCGATTAGTAATGGGAGACAAGCAAGAAATCCCAGACTAGGTGGATTAAGAAGCTGAATAATTTCCTGAGAGAAAGTTTTAATAAATCATTTTTTTATGATCTTGCCAAGAAAACAATATAAATGTGTCTAGGTAATTACCAAGAAACGCTTCAACTGAAAGGAAGCTTTACATACAATTAAAGCCACAGTTCTGTGTCATCCTCATCCTGATTCATTAACTGCAGAATTCTTGGGAACTCTTTTTAAGAGATGTTTGTATAAAATGGCAGTTTTGCTGCTTTATCCTTCTTTTTGCAATACATGCTACAAATACTCTCTAAGGCTGGTGATGATCTAGTCAGGAACAAGAATCTGCCTAGCTCTTCTTGGCATGCCTCCTGTCCTGTCACTTGTCATTGCCCCCAGTGTCCATTTTGGCTTAAGAGAATCTGGACACCTGGTTTGCACTGAGTAGGTTCTTTATTTTTATCAGTCTCCCAGAAAATTCTGACAATTCTGTAGGTTTTTTTTTTTTTTAGCTTACAGTGGGCAAAGGGCAAGGGCAAAAAAGTGGAAGCTCTGTTGATTTACTGTCTCAGTAAGAATTCTCATATGAGTTTCTAATCTTGTAATATGTTTGATTTTCCAGGAGTCCTGGATGCAGTAATCTCCATTCTCCTTCATCCCTGCATTTCAGTTCAGCTAGCAGCAGCATGGTGCTTACGATGTATTGCTGTAGCATTACCCTGCTATCTCTCTCCATTTCTGGATACCTGTATTGAGCGCCTGACGGCAATGAAATCCTCCCCAGAAGCAGTGACTGGCTATAGTTTTGCCATTGCTGCTTTGTTAGGAGCTGTCAGGGAATGCCCTTTAGGAATTCCGCACGGTAAAGGGAAGGTGAGTATTAGAACAGTATGTCTGGTATTCATTGCATTTGACAATTATTTTTGTCACTTCCGTGCAGCTAGAATACATATTTAAATAATGTGATGTTATTATTTTGATAAATGAATTATTTGTTTTATGTTCCTTAACTTTTTTAATTGCTGTATCAAATTCTACAAAGAAAACCTGTTTATGATAAAGGTTCTGTATTCAGAAACGTGTAACATTTCACATACTGTAGCTCAATTGGTTCAGTTTTACAAATTGTGTTTTCACAGCGTGCATGAACTAATCATAAATACATTAATAAGGAAACTCTTATTGCTCTTTAGTTATTCCATATGTATATTAGTCATGTGTGAAACATTTGCAAGAGGTGATTTGTAGAATGTGTCAGAGTGAAATAGCCCCCTTCAAAACATTAACACTTGTTTTGAAAGAGAATGCAAAGGCAAAACTTCTATTGGGTTCCTAATCAAGTACAGATAGTCCTTTACTTACGTCTGAAGTGATAGCAATTGCATTTTGGATGCTTGTCAACTGGCCCATATGTACAGTGTCTCATGATTACATGACCATGATTTACTACATTTTTGCTGAAAACCTGCTGTTATTTCTGGGGTTTGGCAAAAATGCCCAATGGGTTCATTTATCAATTATGGATTCATTTAACAATCATGGGTGATTCGCTTAATGAATGACATAAGATCCTAAAATTGGGTTGGTCATATGATGACCTATTTTATGACCATTAGACTTACATCTATAATAGATTGGCACCATTTGGTTATAAGGACTATGTGTAAAGTGATTGTAAAAGTATATACACATGCAAATACACAGGGACAGCAATTGAAAGAGCCAGGTAAACCTAAGATTTGGAGTGAATAAAGCAAGTGACAGTGTGTATATAAAAGGGTTAGGTTAGATAAATAAAACAAGGGTCTGTAGTACTCAATAATTCCATTGTGCTGATCTATTTAATACAGAATTAAACCTTGCCATAAACGTTGCTGTACTGAAAATACTCGAGCTGGCTGAAGATAATTTTGTTTGATTTTAACTCTGTCTGAAAACAAACATAAACAAATCACAAATTGTGTTTTTTGTCTCTGCACAATGTGAGTTGATGGCTATTGTGTCTTATCCAACAAATCTTTGTTAAAACAAATCATATCCAATTATGATTTATAAACCCAGGCAATGCATAGCATGCTTACTGGTTGTAGAGGACAATTTCACTGTATCAGAGGAAGTAGAGCCTAGCTCATAAAATGTTATGCCACACAATATATTATCAGTTGTTTGCTCAAAAGGAATAAACTATTCTAGAATGTATTCCATATATTTTATTTACATGAGAAAGTTAACTTGTGGGCCATGACATATGCAGAAGTAGTGTATATGCTTCTCTTATAAGAATTTAATTTTGTATTTCATCTCTTGAGATAGTGAAGATTTTTGTTTTCATATAGGTTGTCATGATGGTAGCTGAGGATCTTTTGCGTTCGGCTTCTCAGAATAGTCGGATTTCAGTACAAAGAATGCAGTCAGGTTGGCTTTTGATAGCTGCTTTAATGACATTAGGTAAGATTATTCACTTATATGTCTTTATTTCTTTTCAGCTGAAAAGTTGACCACTTCTGTACTTCTTGTCTAATGTCACTGTTTCAATATATGTGAACAAGTTCTAATTGTTTCATAGCTGTAAAAATATAGTTAACTTAAATTATTACTTCCTTGTCATAGACCATAGGGAATTATCTTTTCCAGTAGAACAAATACACAAACTATATCAATAGCATTTATGTTATATATGAATAATAAGCGAACAACCACACTTTTGAGGGTGAAGTAAACAGTTTCAAAAAAATATGAATATGTGGATTAGAGATAATTTTGGCTTTCTCTCCAACCCTTGCAGAACATTCATGTAACATGGGATTATAACATATTGTTTTCCAAAGTGTAGAACATGAGAACAATACAGAGGAGAATTTTAATCCTGATTGGGATGTTAGGGTAGTTTTCTGGAACTCCAATGATAGGGCAATGGAAGAATAACCAATGATCTTCATTTTCTTCTTGTATAGCTAATACAGGTAATCTTTACAACCACTCACCAGCAACTGTTCAAAGTTATGACAGCATTGAACAAGGGGGACTTACAACTTGTCCTTGAAGTTCCAGCTGTCACAGTGTCCCCATTGTCACATGATTGCAATCCAGGCACTCAGTGTGTGGCTCGTGATTATGTTAGCATAATCACATGTTACCTGCTGGCTTCGCTCATAAAAAGTCAATGGGGAATGGGGAAGTCAGAAGTCATTCCCACCATTTTTTGTCATAGCAACCGCCCATGTTGTCCCTACCTCCCTGCAGCACCTGTGCATCTGCCTCCGCACCTTAGCACCTGCCTCTGGCACCCGTACAATCCCCAGCCTCTTGCCTGGGCCTCTTTCTTAACAACCCACAAGGTTCTGGGGTTACAGTGGCAATCAGAACTGCCAAGATTGCTATCGCTAAGCAATGTAGTCACATGATGTTGCACTTTATGACCACATTGCTTAGTGATGGAAATTCCGGTCCCAATTGCTTTCATAACCAAGGACTATCTATACCTGATTATATAATCATTCATAGTAGGTGAAATCAGTGTTTCATAGATAAAATATTTTCACACATCTGAACATTTCCACTTTTCCCTTTGCAATTTCTCATACCCATCAAAGTTTGCTTCAAAAGGCCCCTTCACTTTTCAGAGTATTTTGCAAGGGCACCCGGGAGCTTCAGGATGAAGGGGGAATAAAAGACTTTCATTAAAGAAAATGTTTCTGTCAATACCACCTACAAAAAAAACATTTCCAATCTTAAAAATAATAGGTCCTGCCGTGGTCCAGCATCATCTTCCTAGAGTGCTGATGTTATGGAAATGTGCATTTCCAGTATCTCCTAAAGACTTAGAAATTGAGAAGAACCGTGGTGATTCATTTACCTGGCAAGTGACACTGGAAAGCCGAGCAGGTGCTCTCTGTGGTGGGTGAAAATTGTGGCTCTTTATACTTTCACTCTTTTTGAACTTTCAGAAGTCATAGCAATAAAAGTAAAGAATGGTCCTTTTTTTTGTCTTCATTGATTTCCAATTCCAGGTCCAGGTCTTTACATAACATATTTTACACATAAATTCCTAGACTATGCAGTAATTGTAGCTGGTTGCAAGTATAAAATTTTATTTATTGCTATATTACATGCGGACATTTGGTGAATAAGAGAGGTACTAACTACTAATTAATACTAACCTTGCAGATTAACATTTGACTTAATGCTCTGATATATTAATTAGATCATCAGACTGTTTATTCATTATTCAAGCATTGGAGATAATCTATCTCTTTCACTACTTCTGACTGAAAAGTAGTGAACATCTGACTACATATTTAAGTATGTAGAATAGCTATCCTTTATATTCCATAGTACAACAGTATTATTTGTTATTTCATAATTGCATGTATTTATATACCATCCATCTCTCAAGACTGTTCCAGATATATCAATTAAGTATAATTTATTATAACATTCTTCTCTTATTATTTTTTTTTACTTCTTTCTATAACACAATAAGATTGTATTATGATTTGTGTATATAGACTGATATGCAATCAATATGCTTTATTCTCAGCTGTCAAAAGCTTTATTCTCTATTGTGGGGGACTGCTTACAGACGAAGTGATTCAAAGACTGCTTCCTCCTGTCCCCTGTGCTGTTGATTTACTGACACGGTAAACAATAATATTTTTATTTTCATCCTCAATTAACATGAAGTAGCATTCAGTGATAAAATTACAGCCATCCCATTGTTATAGTCTAGTCTACATAATATGATAACTAAGAT